AGCCTCCGGGGTTGGGGCGTAGCTCAGTGGGACTGCACTTGCCTGGCATGCACGAAGCTCTGGATTCCATCCCCAGCACCACAAAAAGAAAAAAAGTGTCTGTCTGAGTGACTTCGGCCAGTTACTCAAGCTCCCCATCCTTCTACACCTGTACCGTGGGGGAGTTAATGTTTGATTATGTACCATAAGTGCTATTGTTAGAATTCTGCCCGGCAGTTACTGTTACATTGTCCTCATCTTGTCCCTCTGCTTGCTCAGCTTCCTTGTGAATTTGTTCATTTGTTGCTTAACTTCTTAAGCAATTTCTGTGCAAGAACTGTGCAGGTTGAGCCAGGCATGCTGGCACACACCTGTAACCCCAGCGCTCTGTGAGGCTGAGGCAGGAGAATCGCAAGTTCAAGCCCAGCCTGCACAACTTAGTGACTTAGTGAAAAAGAAGAAGGTGAGGAGGGGCGAAGGAGAGGAAGGGCAGGAGGAAGAGGAGGAGGAACTACACAGAGTGCCAGGGGACCCCTGGGGGAGGTTACAGACAGCATGGGGACAGATGCTGACAGAGGTGTGGGTAAATACCGGGGGACAATGTAGGTTTGGGGGAATGGATCCCTGCGCATGGCAGTTCACCCCTGCCTCATGCGACTCTTCCAAGAGAGACAGCCTCTCTAACTTCTTAGAGCTGAGGGGGCCAGGAAGACCTGTGATCTCTTCCCGGTCTCCACCTGAGCACCTTGCACAGGTCTGCGAGGAAAAGATACCTGCTCTGCGGCCACAGGGCACAGGGGAGGGGGTCAGGGCCACCAGCTTGATGCCACCACCCAGACCCCACCACTGTCAGCAAGGGCAGCCACCAGCGCTGTGTTGGGAGCAGCAGGCGAGTGGGGGTGAAGCAGGGGCCTCTGGCCACACCTTCGGTCATTCATCCCGCAACATGTGTGGTGCACGGCGGCTTCCTGAGCAGGAGGGGCTGCATGTGACTGCTCGCTGGAGGCAGACGCACCAGGGAAGAGAACTTACTTCTCAGGACAAGAGCCATGAACTTGGGCAAGTTATGTCTCTTCGGTTCTCTCAGTTGCAAAATGGGGATAAAGTACCTGCTGCATGAATAGAACTGTCGGGAGGATCAGATGAACTATGCGTGTAGCATGCGTGGTACTGTGCTCGGCTTTGGTATCGTAATTGTTGTCATAGCTACAGTCATTTTCTAGGAGCATTTGGCTTGTGCATGCAGCCACCGGACACAGAAGTGGGACAGCTCGTTTAAGATGAGTCTTTCAACTTGCGTGTAAACTGCTGGGTTCGTACCTGTGCTATCCACGATTGTCTGTCTGGCCGCTGTGGCTGGGGCTGTCGCTGTCACAGAGAAAGCCCCGTTCCAGGTCCCTCTGAGAAAGATGGCTTCATGTTGACACAGAGAGCAGGACTGCGGTTGGCACTGCACCGGTCCTTCCCTCGGGGATCCTGTTGTTTCGCGCAGTGTCTGCTGCTGGGTTCACACGCGGTGTTCCTCCCTGTCCCCGCTTCTCCAGTCCTAGGCTGGCATGTGGCCTGTGATCAAGTGACCCATATCTGCCCTGGGCCCTGCAGCTCCACGTCCCTGCCTGACCAGCACAGTCTCAGCTTCCTACTTCCTGAGAACTCTGCTGGGCCCGGCTCTCACTGCTAAGCCCGGCCTCGGAGATGGAGGGTCACTCCTTCCCTGACACCCATAGGGGCTGTCAGCTACCAGGCCGGTCAGACAGCTGTTAGGGCAGGAAGGGATGTGGGAATGGGGGAAGGGCAGAAGCTCTGAAGAAGGAGTGGATGAGGAGACCTTCAGGACTGGTGTTAGTGTTCAATTCTTGGCAGTAATTTGGACTGGACAGGTGCATGTGTTTATCAAAATTCATCCAAAGGAACTCTTAACATAAGTGCATTTCACACACACACACACACACACACACACACACACACACAATAAGCACGTATCAGATTCTAGTTAATGATATGCATACTGAAGTACTTAGGTGAAGTGTACTGAGGGCGCCAGCTTCCTTTAAATGCTCTACAAAATGAAGATGGATTGATTGACAGATGAAAGGATGGATAGAGGGACAGATACAGGATAAAGCAAATACAGCAAAACCTTAATGGTAGGACTAGGTGGTAGGCGCATGGGTGTTCACTGTACAATTCTTTAACTTTTTGGTACCTGGACATGTTTATAATAAGGTGTAAACATATTAATAAAGAAAGGGAGTCTAGTGGGCAGGCGTCAGCATCTCCACGCAGTCTGCCTTTTGCCCGTCAAAGCACACGACCCCTGGCCCTGACCGAATGCTGGGCATCTCTGGCCAGCGCCTAACTCCTGTCAAGAGCCGAGCCAAGTTGCTGTGCAGTCAGGAGCTTCCGGACCTGTGTGTCACTTTCCCAGTGAAGGTCCCCATGAAGCCAGGTCATGGGGATGTGGCGCGACATTCCTGACGTGATTTGTGATTTTGCCCATCTCTGTGGTACTACACCCTTGTCTGCCATCACCAGCGACATCGCTGTGGTATGTCCAGTGTGGAAGAATCCGCAGGTGGAATCCCTGCCGGCTGTCCGGGGACAGAGGCCTCAGCTCGGCAGCCAGTCTGCCCGGTGCGGGGCCTGCGAACCAGGTGCTTGGTACAGGTGAATGTAAACCGGCTGGGTGCGGGCGGTGAGCTGTGGGCTTCAGTGTGGGGCTTTGTTAAGCTCTCCTGGCTGGGGAGAAAGCTTTCCTTTAGCAAACAGCGAGGGCTACCCAGCGCACAACGCTTCCCTTTGGTGCAGCTAGAAATCCGATCTAGCAGTGACAACTGCTGCAGCAGCCTGGGTTCCCTCCCTGAGAGTGGAAGGGGCGCTTGTTCCCTCCCTTTTCTGTCCCCAGAGTTATCTTCCTGTAGCTAATGCTACAAAGAATACGTAATAAATGAGTAAAAACGACCAAGTCCAGCCTCTCATTTACCCACTAAGAAAACTGACTCAGAGAGGTCAAGTGACTTGTGCTAAGGCAAACAGCAACCTGCTGGGCAGCAGAGCCACCTGGACCCTGCTTCCTTCCACAGCTCTTTCTCCTAGGACACACTGCCGCTTTGTGTTCCAGTGTGAGGGGAAACCACAGCTTGGAAATGATTCAGCTGCCTGCAGGTGAAATGTGCTAACCCAAAGCCCGAACTGCAGGGACCAAATCCAGTAGGGAGTTCTCCTCTTGGTCCTGTCCAGGTATTTTGTGACTAGGTCTGAGGACTCAGAGGAAACCCGCTGTAATGCCAGGAGCTCGAAATCTCCCCGAAGTCTCCTTTTCGAAGACGTGCAAAGTAAGAATCCTAAATGTTCCTTGTACTGAGGCGGCCCCAAGTTCAAAGCACACCGGCAGCCGCTGCTGATCGGGAGCCCGCACACCGCCTTCCAGCAGGGACTGAGGGAAGGCACCGGGGGCACTGAGAACTGACCTGGAAGGCCACCCAGGAGGACATACAGGTCAGGAGAGAGCACTGCCTGTTTGAAGTCGCACAGCTCATGCGGGAGGTGAGGGCTGGAATCCAGGCCTCCCGGCCTCCGAGCCACAACACTTCCTGCTACACCGCGCTGCCTCTTTAAAAAGCCACAGGACATTTGTTCTGCATTAAGGCAAACCAGAAGCAGTTGGAACAGCTTGAGAGCCAGCTGCAAGGAAACCTCTGAGGCAGTTGGTGGTGAATAGGCGGAGTGGGGGTGCTGCGCAACTGACCCCAGCGACACACCGGATCCACACGAGATGACACCCACGGCAGTAACCCTGGCACCGTGTGCCCTCAGCCCCAGCGCCTCCCCATTCATGTGGCATCAAGTGAGACTGCATGAGGCCTGGTGAGCCGTGGCCCCAGACTCACCAGTGTACCATCTGCAGTCACTCGGGGATAATGAGACCCAGGGGACCTTCACAGGGCACATCCTCACATTCCAGAAGGTTCCAGGAGGTTCCAGTTAGCCCAGAACTCTTGGGAATAGTCAGTCTCTACAGCATCAGAAATGTGACGTCTCAGCCCAAACTCCGTAAAGTCAGGGCACGGAGGATGCGAGGCCACCCTTGTGGCCAGGGCCCTGTCCAGGTCTTAGGCTGGTAGGCGTTGTCTTCACTGCTGGTGAGTGGGGCTTTGTTTTCCTTTCTGGGTGCCGGGAGATACTGGGGTGCTAGCTCGGCCCAGGGTGGCCAAGCTAGGATGCAAGTCATCACTTCCATGGAACCCCTGAGACTCTGACTTGGGAAAGGTCCAGCAGCGCCATCTTGGAGTCTCTGGTTGTGTCAGTCAGTCAAGAAAGAGGCTGTCTTGCCGGGAGCCAGGCTGCTTGAGCCCCTGTGGCTGGCACCTCCGAAGGTTTCGCCTTGCTGGCAGGCTGGGCCTGGACATGCTCTTCGCTGCTGCTCCCAACCGAAGGCCAGCTCGCCTCAGCCTAAGTCCAGGCACTGCCCTTCGGTGGGAAGAAACGGGCGGTCTCCAAAGGGCCTGCCCGAGCGGTGGTGGTGGCGGTGGCGGGGGGCAAACCCTTGGCTTTACCCGCCTGGTGAGGCGCCCTTGAAGGAACCCTGGTGCTTTCAGGAAGGGAAGGGGATATTCGGTTGCCCAAAACAGAGGCTGTCCCCCACACCCAGTGTGGAAACTGTTCCCAGTTATTTTTGTTAGTTACTTTAATGGGAATATGTGCTTTGCCGGTCCGTATCGGCAGTCCAGTGTGCGAGCTGTTAAGAAGTGAGGGAGAAAAATGAACAAAATAGAAGATAGATGATAGAAAGTCGGGAGGTAGACCTTTCTCAAAGGGAAAACGGGTCAAGAGTTGCGGGGAGGGTGGAGAGGAAGGAAGGGTGAGGGAGGAAAAACAGGAATTAAAATGTGTTATGTATGTGTGCCGACTTCCTACAAGGGTGTAAACATTATATACTACACACGTGTGCTAAGAAACTAAAAAAAATAAATATTATTGCAATATTAAAGAAGAAAAAAACCAATTGCAGGGAATTGAGTAGTCAAACTGAATTTTAATTTCATATATGATTTTACTTAGATGTTTTTTACTGTGTACATACATTTATTACTTTAAAAAATTACTGATACTTTATCATCTAGCAAAAAAGAGAAGGGGCTAAGCCTTACTGAGAGTGACAGCCGTGTCCCTACACTGCTGTTAGAGACCTCTTTGACCCCAGCAGGGCTCCAGGGAGCTGCTCATTTACTGAATCCGCCACTCCCAGGAGAAGGACCCTTCGCCTCAGGATGGGGCAAACATCCTTGCCCCTCAGGCTCCCCTCAGGATGGGGCACGGATCCAAACATCTTGGATGGTTTTGCGGCCAACAGGAAGACGGAAGAGTGAGCTCTCCTCGGCCATCCGAATTGAACCCAGGCCGCCTGCAGCTGGGAGCAGCTCTGCTGGGAAGGTTCCAGAATCAACCATCTGGGGCGCCTCCCCGGAGGAGCAGAGAGACACAAGGTGTTGTTTCACTGCGGAGGATTTGAAACTGACAGAAGCAAATGAAAAGGTTATAGAAACAGTAAGGCTGTCGCTGACCCCGGACGTGGTGGTGGAGAGTGATGGAAAGATTCACAACAATGTGGCCCCTGAAAGCGGCCTCCAGGCTCAGGCAGCTCAGGAAAATTCCCTGTGTGCCTCACCTCTGGGCTCAGAACAAAATCTGTACCCCAGCACTAATGGTCCCAGAAAATGACCAGCCCTTGAAAACGAGGGTGGAGGATGGAAATGCTATGTCTGCCCTCCCTGAAAGGACTGCGTGCAGACCCTCCCATCCGGGTCCTGTGACGGACCTCAGTTAAACTGCGTCAGAGGGAGCTACCGTCACCTGGGGAGGCTCCGGAGGTTTCAGGACCTGCAGAGCTGCCTCCGTACTTGTGGTTCTTGGGGGCGCTGTGACCCCTGGGACAGCAAAGACGGGGAGACACTCAGGTGGAGGAGGCTTCCAGGCCCACCAGCTCCGCAGGCCTCCTCATACTAAATCCTCAGCTTCGGTAGCCTTTACCTTCCAGCTAAGGGGCAAGGAAGATGCTTTTTGGAAGAGTTGGCCTTTTTTTTTTTTTTGCTAAGACCTAATATTTTAAAATTTTTCATAGGGGCTGGGAATTTAGCTCAGTGGCACAGCGCCTGCCTGGCAAGCGCGAGGTCATGAGTTCGATTCCCGGTACCGGAAAAAAAACTAAAAACCAAACCAAAACAAAAAACCCCCAAACAAATAAACAAACAAAATTTTACATGGGTACCTCTGAAGTGGTTCCCATACCCCCCTGGGGGTATGCAGCTCTGACTTCCTCACACCCCATCCCGGGTGACCCCAGGGGGACAAGCAGGTCAGACCGCTGGCTTGGCGAGGACGCTGCCCGGTGAGACCCGGACTCTTGGTGAGGACGGTGGTGGTGCTGCTGCCACAGAGGGGCACCAAGCCCTGCCCTCGGCCAGGCCCGCCAGGCCTCCCCTCCGCCGGGACGGCCGAGGTCTGTGGAACGGAGGGACCCTGGCTTCAGTCCTTCTCCGTGGGCCGCGAAGCCTCCCTTCAGCCCTGCGTTCCTGGGTCTGTAAAATGGGCATCATGCGATCACTCCCCGGTTTGTCGGGTGAGAGCATGGATGGGATGGTGCGTGTGACGCGCTTCACTGCAGGAACTGCTGTCATTACTGTCAGCGGTACCCCAAGGTCAGTAGTGGATGTTACCCCAAAGCACAGCTCACTTGGGAGAGCCCAGATGCCCTCCTAGGCACAGACCAGAATGGCTTTCTCGGACCCTTTTGAGGCAAAAACCAAGGTTAGAAAGTGGCCCCCGAGCCTGGTTTTGTCACCATTTCAACACAAGTTTAGTAGTAGTTGCCAGTTATGGAGCAGTAACTCTGCCCAGGTGTATGAGGCATTTTATACACCAGATCTTGTTTCCTCCTGTGGGATAGGTCCTCTGGGGCACAGAGAGGTTGAGTAACTTGCCTAAGGCCACACAGCTTTTAAGTGGCTGAGCAAGGCTGTTTCATTTCTGAGTTGATGGCCTTAGCTGGCAGGCCAGACCTCCTCTTCCTTTCCTGTTATGACCTCTTTCCTGAGTTGGAGGAAAGAGGGGGCAGTCAGCTGCTTTGCTGTGCTGCCCCTGCTGAACTCTGCTGCTCTTGAGAGAAGAGACCAGAGCCCCCGCGGGCATGGCAGTTAGCAGGAGCACCGTGGCAGAGCTGGGGGTGCAGCTGGCTCCTCGTGGCTCGGTGCCCATGCCCTGCAGACACCAGAGGCTCCCTCCGCCCGCTAGGCTGCTGCCCATCCAAGGCCCTTCCCTGCGCTAACCTGCTCCAGCCTAGACCCAAGGCTGTCTGTCTGTTCTCTTTCTCCATCACACCCGTCACCAACTTTCCCTTGTACCAAACCCGCAGAGCGCCTCCGAGCACCAATCCTCTCTGGTCCAGGGAGCCGGGCTTCCCCTTGCCTGAGGGGCTGCAGGGCACCCCGAGGAGAGCTGGGCAGATGCCTCCTGGGGCAGTGTCTAAGGTTCCCCTGGCTGCTAGAGGGTGGTGCAGGTGGGCCTGCTGGGAGGGTCTGATCACAGTTCTGAGAGCAAAGCACGTTCGGTTCCTCTTCCTCTAAGAGTATTGCGCTTTGTTAATGAGCTGCAGTAAGACACGTACCTGCGGAGGAGGAGAAAATTAGGTCGAATAAATTAGATGGAAAAAATCTAACAGATGGAGGAAATCCATCTGTTAAGCCGTGGTCTGTGCCAGAAACCTGTGCTACACACTCTAGGCATCTTCCGGCAGGTAAATCTCACACCTCCAGGCAGGTACCCTTTTCAACCCATTTTACAGTTGAGAAAGTGGAGTCCTGAGTACCTTGCCACTGACTGGGTGGCCTTATTGGTCGAGGAGCCAGGAGCAAAGCCCGTTCTGTCTTCTGCAAAGCCTGGGCTCCAGACTCCTCACCACAGGCCTCGCAGAGAAGCCCAGGCACTGCGAAATGCATTGACTTCCCTTTGCCCGCCGCATCCTTCACTGTCTAAACCAGATAGAAAAGGGATCCTTTATGGCTGCTCTCTAGCGTTTAGCACTTTTCTTTCAGACAGACTATTTCTTAAGCAGGCTTGGCTTTCTTCTTCCTGAGCTTTGAAAAATGCAATCGGACAAATCTAAGCCATTTGTGTCAATTAAATAGTGGTTTCCTCTCCGGCTAGCGTTGATGCGGCGCCGATTCTGTACCAGGCGTTTTGTGTTAATTGTTTTTCACTGAGTTCTCAGGCCAACCCGCATTAGGTGATGTCATCGTGAGGTGCTGCAGCAGGCGGCTAGGCATTTGGCCCTTAAGGTCTGACTTCCTCTTGCCCCGCTGCTTGCTAGCTGTGTGGCCTGGATGACAGCGGCAGGACTCAGTCTGGTTTCTTATTTGCAAGGTGATTATGACCATAGAGTTGTAAGGCACGTAAGTGAAGTACTTGGATGGGTGCCTGGCATTACGGTAGCCTTAGCTACTCCCAGGACATTTTATGTACAAGGACATTGGAGAGCAAAAAACAAAACAAAACAAACCTGCCCAGCTACTTAGGGAGAGCTGGCGTGTTAACCCAGAGAGTCCAATGCCGGGACCTATGCTGTGAACCATTCCTACCTCGTAGCCCCAATTCCTTTACCTTTTTATTCTTTAAGCACCTGAGTATAACTTATATACCATAAAACTCACTGACTTAAGTGCAATTCGGTGACTTTTACCGAATTTGCCGTTGTGCAACTCTCATCGTAAACAAGTTGAGGAAATTTCCATTATTCCCAGAGGATGCCCGACGCATGCCCGCAGTCATACCCCACTCCCAGCCCCCAGCCTGGCACCACTCCTGTGCTCTCCATCGCTGCAGATCGGCTTTCCCTTGGGGGTGGGGCTTTCTTCTGAATCTCTGAGACAGTGTGAAGTCTTTTGTGATTGGCTTCTTTCACTCTTGCGATGTGTTTGAAGTTCCTTCATGTTGTCATTTATTTATATTAGTGGTTTGTTTGCTCCGACAGTTTTCCATTGTGTGGATAGACTCTGATGTTTTTCGTTCACTGGTTGATAGACGTTTGGATGGTCTCCATCTTTGACCTTTATAAATACCTTGTTAACTGTTAATAATTTATTGTGAAAAATTCCAGCCATATAATGAACCCCGCAGACCCACAAACTACCTTCAACCTTGGATGTGAACATTTGCCATCATTGCTTTAAGATTTCTACTTTTTAAAGTGTTCTGTAACAAATCTGAAGCACCGTATCATTTTACTTTTTAATTTCACTCTTTAAGCGTATGAATTTTTTTTTGTTGTTGTTTTTTTTTTTTTTTTTTTTTCTTTTTTTTTTTTAGTTTTTCTCTGGTACCGGGAACTGAACTCACGACCTTGCGCTTGCCAGGCAGGCGCTTTTGCCGCTGAGCTAAATCCCCAGCCCCCTAAGCGTATGAATTTTTATTCATTTCAAATGGGTAGCATAGGGGCTGGGGATTTAGCTCAGCGGCAAAGTGCCTGCCTGGCAAGCACAAGGTCATGAGTTCAATTCCTGGTACCGGAAGAAAAACAAACGAACCAAAAAAAAAAAAAAAAAAATCAAATAGGTAGCATAGTCATAAGTGTCTAAGACTAAGAAATATAGAAAGGTGCGTGGTTTCATTCTAGAAAGTCCCACCCCCAGCTGTTTATTTTTCATTCAATCACTGTCATTTTCATGTTTCACTATTTCTTTGCCCCATGTAAAGAATAAAAAGCCAGGGGAGATAGTATACACTTCTAATCTCAGCACTCTGGGAGGCTGAGGCAGCAGGATCAGAAATTCGAGCCCAACCTGGAAGGTGACTTAGTGAGATCTTCTTTCAAAATTAACAACAGCAACGAAAAGGTGTGGGGATAGAGCTCATGGCTAAGGCCCCAGGTTCAATCTGCAGTGTGCTCTATCTCTTCCCACATTTTATAGAAAAGGAGGCAAGTACGCTACTTCATACTGATTTTTTCACTTCATGATACAGCTTAGAAATCTTTCAATATCGGAAGATATTTTTTCACTCTTTTGTAATTTTTACGGCTACATGTTATTTCATCATATGGCTATATCTTAATTAGTGACCAGTAGATGGGCATTTGGACTATTTCCAGTCTTTAGCTCGTATAGGCAATGTGCAATTCTTCTTCTTGTACGTATATCACTTCTCACGCTGGACTATTTTATAGGATAATTTTCAAGACAGAATTCCTGGGCCAGAGAACATAGCAATTGAAGTTTTCTCTTATTTGCCCTCTTTGGCACTTGTACCAGTCTGCACTCCCTCAGCATTGCTTACAAGCATTTGAAGTTGTCTCAATTGTCCTGACCCTATTGTCTCACCCAGAAAGTGAACTACCTCACTTTTCAGCCTTTACATAACAGTCCTGTTTCTCAATTCTTGCCACATTTTCTTTCCTTATGTGACTTTTTTTCTTTGTTTTATATGTGTTTTTTGAGATAGGATCTCACTATGTAGCTCAGTCTGACCTCAAACTCCAGATCCTTCTGCCTCAGCCTTCCAAGTGCGAGGATCACAGGCACGAACCACCACACACAGTTTATACATTTTTTATGTTAAGCTTCCCTGTTGGCTTGTTTGTTTGACATGAGATATTGCTATGCTGCCCAGGTTGGTCTCAAACTCCTTGGCTCAAGTGATCCTCCTGCCTCAGCCTCCTGAGGAGCTGGAACTGCAGGCACATACCGTTATGTTAAAATTGTCTGAACGAATTAGTCTTGCATACCTTTATTCGTATTTTAAGGCTTTAAAAAATAACAGCTTTATTGAGATATAAATCACACAGCACACAATGCATCTATTTAAAGCGTACTGTTCAGTGGCTTAGTCCACAGATCATTTTTACTACTCATCTCTAACCTTTAAAAAAGTTTTGTTTTTTTTTCTAATTACAGAGGCATTACATGTTCAGTTCAAGAAAGATAGAAAAACAGATATGACAGTGAAAAATGCAGCACGGTGGAAATATCCACTGGTGAATTTTTTTTATAAAAACACAAATACCATGAAGCGTGTGCTCCATGGAGGTTTGCGGTGTGATCCCGAGTTCTGTTTGGCCTCTTACTTACACGCGTCCTGTAGCTCTAACAGATCATCGTGGAAGATCGTCACTGGCGATAACCACAGCGGAAAGAAGGGTGAGACCCCTGCTTCCTGAAGCTTCCTGCTTCCCGGGTCTCGGGTACTGTACCCACTCAGTCCGATTTGATCCTCGAAATAATTAGGAAAGACTGGCACCGTCCTTATCCCCATTTTATCGCTGAAGAAACTGAGGATCAAAAAAGTTGAGTGAGTGGCCCCTTTAAAAAGGTAGTAAGTAAAGGAACCAAGGCTTGAACTCTTCTCATCTGTGTGACTTGCGAATGCCTGGGCGCTGGGCTGGAGTTCAGATGGGAGCCCTTCGGGACTGGCTGAAAGAAGCAGCGCTGACCCAGGGGAGTGAGAGGGGCCCTCCACCTGCACTTGCACTGGCCCGGGGGGAGGGGAGGGCCCTTCGTCCCTCCGCCCGCAGGAAGCGGGGAGGGGTGGGAGGCATCTCTGGAGAAGGGGCCTGCGTCACAGGCACAGACCGCGTGGGGCCCCCTGGGACGGGCCTCTCCCCCCGCCCCATGGATGGAGAACAGAGAACAGGAGAGCAGTTCCGGGAGGCCCAGCAGGGTGCCTCCCCACGCCGTCCCTTCCTCTCCCTCGCTTCGCGTCCCCCAGTGTGGCCCAGCTTGTTCAGGTCTATCTTACCCTGAGCCAAGTAGCCAGCAGGAGGTGCGCGGCTGTTAGCTGGAACAGCGGGCGGGCTGCTTGGTTGCTGCGGCAACGGCTGTTGTAAGTAAGTGGCCTTGTGGCAGGAGACAATTTAATAAGCCGAATCTGGAGGCCCAGTGCGAAGGCCTGGCGGAGGCTTTATTGGGCGCCGTCTGTGGTGAGGAGCTGCGGCGTTGAGGGCTCCAGCGGTTGCAGAGTGCATCGGGGGTAGGTACCTGGGGGCCAGGCTTTTGTTCTACAAAGGTAGCTGGGTGGTGGGAGAGCTCCATCCTGTGTCCTGAGATCCTGAGACTCAGTGTGGGCTGAGCCTGCCCCTCTGCTTCCAGCCGGGATGCTCTACTTTGTATCACAGCAGCCGTCCACCCCGCAAGCTGGAAAGTGCACGCAAAGCACAAAACATGAAGCTGAAACAAGGCAGGCAGGGCGGATGTCCCGCCTCGGAGTGGCTCTCGGCCCCCACAGGCCCCGGGGAGACAGCGTGCTATTTCTGTGTGTGCAGTGTGATAAAATGGTGGAGCCCCTGGGAAGCACTGTCTGCGCCTCTGTGCTGCTGCTGTCCTCTCGTGCTCTCTGGAACCTACTTCGGTCCGGTTTTCAGCCCTCCTGATCCTCAAACTGCTCCTGTCAGGGTCTCCGTATGAGACCAGGACCCCTAGGCAGCTCCCGCCCTGACCATTCTGTGGTAGCTGCCTTTGCCACTACTGGTCACTCTTCTCTGTCACTCTTGGCTTCAAGAGACCATGCTTGCTGGCCGTCCCCTGGGCCATGCTGGGGCTTCCTCTGCTCCGACCTGGAGCTGGAGGATGCGGGGCTCAGGGCTGGTCCTCTTGCTCATTCTAACCTTGATTCTCCCAGCGGCAGCCTCCAGGACAAGTTCGCAGGGAGCAAGTTCCCTGGGTTCATCCCTGTCTAGGAGAGGGCTCGGGACCGGGCAGGGTAGAAACGCAACTGCAGCAAGGGGCCAGCAGACCTCGGGCTGGGGAGCCCCAGTCCCCCAAGCGGGATTCAAACGATCACCTTGTGGACTTTCTGATCCCTTCAGGAGGTGCTCTCACTGCCCTCGCTTTGCGGGTGCAGTGGTCGAGGCTGGGGGGAGTTTTGCAGCCGTTGTGGGCCCCGCGACTCAGGCCCAGCTCTGCCACCTGCCAGCACCTTCCCCTCACTCTGGCTGCGCCAAGCTGCCATGAGGTGTGCCAAGGAAACTCCAGG